TGTGTGTGTGTGTGTGTGTGTGTGTGTGTGTGTGTGTGTGTGTGTGTGTGTGTGTGTGTGTGTGTGTGTGTGTGTGTGTATGTGTGTGTGTGTGTGTGCGCGCGTGTGTGTGTGTGCGCGCGCGTGTGACAATTGTTTGCTTCGTTCACCACAGATGACGAATGTCAAAGGTCAGCGGAATGTGACGAGGAGATAGGCCTGTGCTGCCAGCTGCGCAAGCGGCACCGTGGCAAGCCGCGCAAGATCTGCGATTACTACCGGGGTCACAAAGAAGTGTGCATAGGCTTTCGAGATAACAACTGGATCTGGAGCTTCTGAGATATCGCGCCTCGCCCGTGCGTTCTAACCAGCAATCGTAGACGGAAAAGAAATACGATAGCGTGTATATGACGTGGCGTAAACCATATTCCACTCTAATTCTATTATACCGAGATGAAGTAGGCAGCGTAGCGTTGATTAACATAGTGTTTGCAGTAATTAATGTTTACGAATTTACGCAAAGGATTTTACGCATATTTTCGAGATATGAAAAGCAATATTCTAGACGTGAATGTCTTTCACTTTATGTGTTTGTTTATAGCTATTTCGTGTGTACCTCTGTTTTCCCGAATATACTTTCGCCTAGCAGTCTTGGTTCTTCCCTTTCCAATTTCCATGTCCTTCCATTTTAAGCTATCCGATTGAAGCGCAACTTCATAGTGCTATATAAAACAACGTTGCGTCCGATACGTCACTGGAAAGCTTACGCGATATTAATTAATAATTCTATAAGACAATGGAACTCGTCGATATATATATATATATATATATATATATATATATATATATAGTGAACTATCACTGGATTGCTTTCATCATTCCTATGCCAGTGTAGATATACTTGTTTAATAAAGCGATTTATAGTGGATAGTGAAAGACCCTGCGTTTACTTAACTGTTAAGTAAGTAACCCAATCGCAAACAAGTGCGACATCGCACATTTTCACGTAAACGCATGATGTCCTGCTAAAGGGTGTTCAAACTTTGCCAATAGTGTAGTCTACCGCTTCACAAATGTTCGCTGTTTACTCACGTATTGTAACGAAAAAGTGTCGCCATCTTCTTATAAAGTTGTGTTAAAAATCGCATCACGCAAACGTTAACTATGTGTGTAAATCTAGCGAAGTGCATGTGTAAAGACTGACAGTATCGATCAAACCCAGACCTGAACAGCTAATTATGTATGATTACACCAGGAGTGGATAATGGAGATCTCTATTAACCACTCCTGATTACACTATATTCTCATTCCACGTGTAGATTGGATTTTAAGTTAGAATATATCACCTCTATGCTTAATGAGGCTGCGATTGCAATATGTCACCATGAATATTACTAATGCAAATAAAGAGCAACTTACATAGCGTTGAACTGAGTGCTTAAAACGAGAGGCACTGAATCTGTTAGCTGGAATGGACTAATTCTTGAAAGTGTATCATAACAAAAATAGAATTGATACCGTGTGTCCTCAAATCCGTTATAGAAATCTTTCACTCCATTTGTCGAAAAATTACATTATAAAGTAATAAATATGAGCATTCTTCATATACGGTGCTATATTGCACATTATTCCGTTGTATTAGCTCAGTGTCATGTGCATAATCTAATCAAAGCACATATAGGTATACATATATATATATATATCTACAATCTCTATCTATTATGTACCGTTATAGTATATATATATAATATATATATATATATATATATATTATGATATATATAACCACTACAGAATATCATCTGCGAGCGTGTGCGTTAGCGCGAAGGATACCGATCTCGATTTTAGTAAGTGTTTGCAAGAATACAGTGCATGCATGCATGCATAAAACACATTTTACGGAATCAAATATGGCGCTAACAACGTGATATGAGGACAAGGCGGCCTATAATGCGTTCTCGTGCGTTTTTCGCAACATAGTCACTAGAGCATTGAAAAGTTGAAGATTTAATGTTTTCGTATTTCCACTTAATAATTTCGTGTTTTTCCCCGTTTTTTCGAGTTTAATGTTTCTGGTATCGGTAGTCGTGGCGTCCGTCGCCGGTCAGTGAAGCTATTAACGACAAATAGTATAAACAAATACATCGTTAGAACCTGCTGGTCCATAATAATACTACTAATAAAAGTAAATACTGAAGTGGTGCGACTGAGTGCATGCGATTTACAGTTGATTGTTTTCCTTTAAATCGCAATTATAACGCGCGATATACACAGCCGTGTGAATTATTTGCTTAAATTTACTCAGATATTTCCTAACGTTCCTTCTGCTAGGAAGTCATTTTGTAAGACGTACGCATTTGTAAGAATGAGTGCGTGAGTCATAATAAGCCAGGTTAACACGTAAAAGTCGCAAAACTTGAACTTATCTTGAAAAGCACATACAATGAGGGTAAATAATTCTCCACGAACCCATAGAAACGATTTTTGAAATTCACATGTTATATTTGTCCAAGTAGCTTTGATGAGTACTTAGTTTCTAAACAGCGGCATGTCAAGTCTTGCGCGTTTCACTCGCATCTCTGTGATTATCACATCGTGAGTGACAGAGTGTTCATGCTAAAAAATCGCAGTTGATGTATCCTTAGTCATGTATTTGTAAGGTACACTACTGGTTGCTGACAAAAAATATTTGTTCGAAAATGTAGCGTGCGTATGTTGCTCCCTTTCCCATTTAACTTGAATCAAAACATATGAGTTATTTTCGTCAAATTACCGCAAACCTTGAATACTATCGCGACATCTATTCATGACATAATATATCATGTTTACATGACAGATACACGTGTACAGAATGACGAACACGAGGTCATGCGAAACCGACTTTACTAAAAAAAAAACTACGCTTGACTTTTAAGTTTTGTTCAAAATAAAAACTGAAAATTTGACGAAAGTATTGTGTCGGCAAGCCTTACTATAAAATCACCAAGGCAAATAAAAATGAGGACACACAAAACACCTGGATATGGGGCAGTGATGCTGAGAACAAAGTCAGTACCTACTCCTGTATATATTGAAAATACTATTATTGGAAATACTACTATTGAAAATGCGGCACGGAGCCTAATTCGTTCGAGAAGCGTCGCTGGTAGGCGATGTTCCGTATGTAGTGATGTCCCAAACTTACATTTCTCAGTAAACTGAGAGAGCTAGCAAAACGAAGTTGTACGTGATCTTGCTCAAGACTGTTGATTAAATAAAAGATGATATCAAGCACCAGCTTGCATGGTATACATGGCAAAGCGAATAACATCACATCAAAGCTTTGAAATTATCAATCGACCTCTCGTTGAATATGGATCTATCTATCTCGTTATGGTTCGGGATGATATGATACTATGCGTTTATCTGACAGTCTGGTATAATTCCCACAGGCGGATATGTCGTCCAAATACTAGACCATGTGGGCACACATACCCGTACATACTAGTCCTTCGTGTGCGTTTAGTATCTTATGAGTCCCAGTTGTAACTCGCAAAAGCATTATGTCAAAGAGAAAGCGCTCACGTCTTTAGAGATAGAATTTTAGGCAACTTTGAATATGAATACATTTTACATAGGTCATCAGGCATATGGTACGCTTATTATTGCTATTTCTACGCAGCATAATAACGCCCTGTTAATACAACAAGATAATAATTATTTACAGAAATATAATATACCAGCTGTTTGATAGTATTGGTACACAAACAAACAAACAAATCGTGATCCTTGGAGTAACAACATGGGATATACTGGGATTAGATGCAGATAATAAAGGTGTATATAAGCTTCGTAACAAGACAGTGTAGGCACTTGAGTTAGAGCACCAAAACCAACCATGAAGCTTCTAGTTCTGCTAGCCGTCGTCTGCGCCGCCAGCGCCACTACCCCGAGGTGGCCACGACTTCCCGAAGGTATGTCTTCCGAAGGTTTGAGGCTCTAACTAAACTCATGAGCTTACATTGGCAAACTCATTTGTGTCACATTTTAGTTTCTAGGCGTTTGCTTAATTGCATGATATTATGAGGCAGAGTTAGGATGCAGAGTGTGAGCTTGTGCGATAATTAGCGATATTGCAAATTAGCCGCGAAAAATCGTGGTGCGAATTAGTGAGGAATAAATATTATTAATGATATGATACTAGAAACCGCACGTTTTAAATATTCCGATAGCAATTATTGTGACTTTCTGTTTTAGGATGGGCTCCCCCGGACACGAAGATTGTCGGCGGCGAGAATGCGGACATTACGGAATACCCACACCAGGTACTAGAGCCCAGTTCTTCTTGCTATGCCGCACAAAAAAAACTATAAGATACATGCTTTCATTCCAGTGGATATACGTAAGCTATTCACTTGTTTCAAATGCGTTTTGTCATACGACTGTGTACGGCCAAACTGACGCTCTATAGTTAATAATAGTCTCCTTTCTGATAAATGACAAGTATAGAATATAACATTATAAAGAACCTATTAGTCTGATATTTGAATCGTATTTTCAGGTTGCTATGTACTTCGGTGGATCCTTTAGATGTGGAGGCTCCATTATTGGCCCACACACCATTCTGACTGCTGCTCACTGCGTCTCTGGGCGAGTTTTGTTTATTGCATCTGTTCCACGTTTTTGCATTTATACAGGCGCACGGGTATATAGGGATGACACTAATTTATATTTATTTAAAGTCAACCCTATATGCCATCATGAATCAGTTCCCGATATATCGATGAATTTCTACGGTTTGCCTAATCTAAACATTATTCCTAAACCATTGAATATATATATATATATTTGACACGATGAATTGCAGATATGAAAACTACGCCAGTTACTTCTCTATCAAATATGGTGTCACCGATATTAGATATGATGGAAAAACGGCAGGCGTAAGTAATGCACATACGCTGGTGCCCAGTGTAAATTATATCGCTGCAGATAACGAGTGATTTCATTCATAGTTTGCCATGGTTATAATCGGATGCAATCCTGCTCTAAACAAAGAGTGCTCTGCGTGAGCAGCACGTCTACTTCAGAACTTAGCATGAAAACCCACGACAAATGCGAGCTATTTTCCCTCAGTAACATATAATGCAATAAGCAAACGTTTATTCTTGACCGGTCGTAATATATTTATCCTAAATCCTGTTTATTTTGATTTGAAGACGAGGAGCGTACTTATGTAGGATTACTTATATAAATTATATAAATAGGTGAGCAAGATTCACACGCACAGTTCGTACGGCGATAATGGTATGAGTAACGACGTCGCTACCATGATTCTGAGCTCCAACATTGAATATACTGACAAAAGCAATGAAGTGAAGTTGGCCGGCTCCGGAAGCGGGGATTACGCTGGAACGGACGCCTTGGTTTCTGGCTGGGGTAGCACCAGAGAAGGTAACGTATCGCAGGAACGCACCACTCTAATTAAAGGTTTAACATGTTATGGTCATGCAGTCACAGTAGCCAGAAAAAACATGTATATATATATATATATATATATATATATATATATATATATAGAATCTCACGTACATACGTTCATACGCAAGGGATCACACGTACTGTACACACACGCTGGCGCACGCACGCACGCACGCACGCGCACGTACGCACGTGCATGCACGTAGGCCCTACATCCACATTTTCTTTGCTACCCCAACCCGCGTTCATTCTTATTCAACGTGAAATTGATGTTTTCGTTCTATTGTAGGTGGATATGTATCCAACACCCTCCAGGCTGTGCAAGTACCCGTGATCACTAACATAGTTTGCGGGCAACAATACGGGTTATCTTCTATTACCGACGACATGCTGTGTGCAGGATACCAAGAAGGTGGTAAAGACGCCTGCCAGGTACATCTTCTCATGAATTTAGCAGGATATAAAATATAGGTTTTGTCACGATGGCTATTAGTGTGATATGTGCTGTAATTGTTTTTTATTCGCATTTTCGTGTGTCGCGTATATTTTTCCCTGTTTGTTGCAATGAATTCTTTAGTCGACGTTACTCATACGTGTTTTGGATTTCATTCTTCAGGGTGACTCTGGCGGACCAATGATTTCCAGGAACGGAGGGCAGCAGATTGGTGTGGTTTCTTGGGGCTATGGCTGTGCGCGTCCAAACTACGCTGGTGTTTACGCTCGAGTCTCTACCTTCTATCAATGGATCACACAGCATATGCAGTAGAATGACTAAACCGACTCCAATGGACAAGACACGAATATGAATTTACAATATCACCTTATTCATTAGACACTTTAATCACGTTTTGGTTTACCTACATCTATTTTCGTCAGCTGATGTAATGATTTTGATGCCATCTGTGATGTAGTGAGATTCGCAGTTCGTTGAAAAGTTACAAATGTCAAAAAAATATTGATGTGATTGATGTAATTAATAAAAGTGATCGTGCAAAATTACACGAGTTGTTCTGAATATACATCTTATCGGCGAAAACACTCGAATTGAAATCCGGTATCGAAAATATTGATAATTAAGCGTAGCATTAGCGTCAAAATAAATTTATCATGGAGAATTCACACGTATATTTACGCTGCGATTGTTGTCGTGATTACATGATTAATAATGACGTTCGTGATTCCGCAATCGAACAATTCAGAATGACAAGAAAAAGAAAAAAATTATTAACAGCTTGCAGCGCTGACATGACATAATTGAAATTTCTAAAACACAAACTATACACTATTCGCTTTAAACGTCGGGCTAGATTTTGGTCACGTATTTGTCTATTATTCCCTCTGTGCGTATGCTTAGAGAAGATAAACGATGCCGTGTACGTTTACCATTCGGATGCTTTGCATAGACACGTTCCCACGCCAGCATGTCGTCGGTACAGCGATCCTAGTTCACAAATAGACGTCAAAGATTGCTTTGATAGATACGACTTTGAGCATTTTAGATTAATCTTCAAAATTTCAACTATCTAATATTTATTCAAATGCTACATTTTGTTCGTATTAGCTTGTTGTTCTGGGAGGGGGCAAAAACCTCGCCTGTATGGCTCTCTAACACCGAACCGATTTACATACTTAAAACGTAGGAAATATGTATCAACCAAGAACTATTAACTTGTCAGTTTAAATATGCCTATCGATCTAATTTCAAAAAATAAAAGCTACGTCACTGTAATACGACAGCCAATGCATGGATGGATAGATGGATGGATAGATTGATGGAAGAACGGACGGACGGACGGACGGATGGATAGACGGATGGACGGACTGACGGACGAACGGACGGACAGAGGGATGGACGAAGAAACGGACGGTACACACGTCACATTTCAACGGATATCACTAGAACTACAATATATATTGCTCTACACATTATGGTCAGTGACATTATTTTAAATAGAGTCCTTACTCGTCGCAGTTGCTTGACATAAAAAATATATTTCGCTGTCTCACTTTTATGATTCTCAGGTGTCCCCTGCTGATGTGACTCTAATTAAATTTAATCTTTACCTATGGTAAGCGATGATAAAATGTGTCATGCGTGACATGTACAGCCGTGTGTCCAGCTTTTATCAAATTAGTGAAATAGTATGTTATTAAACTTGGACTTTAAATTTTTGAAACGTAACCCTAGCTTGCGTAAGTTAATGTAAGGCATCTCTATCCAAAACTCCCCTGACATAGCAAATTTACTTTGAGCGTGACTGCGCGAAATCTCTGATCATACATAGTAACTGCGAAATAAACGTGTCTGTGCTGCAATCGCACTTTGAAAATACAAAACGCATACTACTCGCCGTAGCTGCTTGTCCAATATTTTTTAAATAAATTAAGTTTAAAGTTTCATTAAAATTATACTTATATACTTGGAGACATAGCTACATATCACTGTAATAATTTTGCGGTGCTTATACTCATTCAAGATCGTCCGAAGATTAGTAGATGAGTGTTAATTAATGTCTAGAATCTGCTAAATTGCATGTTATTTTGACGAGATTCTATTTTTATTTAAGAAGGAACCTGCACACTTGACACTATCAACAATTGTTACCTATAGACGTTCATTTTCCGACGTAACTATCCTTGCTAGGTGTGTTGAAATGATATACTGTTATCTACCTCTAACTCAACATTCTATCTTGCCACCTGGTTAGGTTTGACGACCTATCTATCTTTCATTCTAGTTATGTATCTATTTGTCTCTCCATAAATAATGTTTCGAGATAATATAATCTCTTGCCGTTAAGCTGGCAGTCTGGTCACATTCTCACGGGCGATTCTGTCATCCAAATAATAAAGCCTGGACACACATATCTGTATTTTTTATGCGCGTTTAGCGACTACCAGGGCCGTAGCTAGGAATTAATGTATAGGGGGCAAGATGAACGAGTGCTGAAGGCGCTCGCTTCAAGGGGGGTCTGGCGGCATGCCCCCAGAAAACTTTGAATTATAGAAGCGCTGAAATGCCATTTCGAGCCATTTCAGGTAGGTTACATACCTAGAAGTTTCCAAACGGTTAAGCGAGTATTTTCTAATCTTAAGTTCCCATTATTCTTCACTGGTTTTTTTTTTGGCGAGGGACAGCTGCCCTCCCTGCCACCCCCCCTCCTGCTAGCTACGGACCTGACTACAAAAGCATAAACAATAGCAATTCTGCATTTAATGAAATGCTGCATTATTAATAACACTCACTATTATATCGCTTCGTTAATACGACAACATAATACTTAGATTTGAGGAATTACATTATACTATACAGGTGTTCATATTATCAGTACACAAAAAAAGAAATCGTGATGCAGTCGAAGTTAAAGCAATACTGAGATAAGATGTAGATAATAAAGGTGTATATAAGCTTGGTAACAATACAGCGTAGGCACTCGAGTTAGAGCACCAAAACCAACCATGAAGCTTCTAGTTCTGCTAGCCGTCGTCTGCGCAGCCAGCGCCCATGCCCCGAGGTGGCCACGACTTCCTGAAGGTATGTCTCGTGTTATAACTATTGTTAGTTTCAGGATCTAACTAAACTCATGAGCTTAAATTGGCAAACTCATTTGTGTCATATTTTGTTTTCTAGATGGTTGTTTTTATTCTATATTATTTGTTCTGTGAGCGTGTGCGATAATTATCCATATTGTAAATTAACGGCGGAAACATCGTTGGCCGATTTAGCGAGGATTAAGTAATAATATGATAGTAAAAAACTAACGTTTCAAAGATTCCGAAAGCAATGTGACTCTCTGCTTTAGGATGGGCTCCCCCGGACACGAAGATTGTTGGCGGCGAGAATGCGGACATTAAGGATTAGGCCTACCCATACCAGGTACTAGAGCCAAGTTCTTCTTGCTATGCCGCACACAAAAACTATATAACACATACTTTATTTCCAGTAGACTATACGTAAACTATTTACATATTCCAATTGCGTTCTGTCTTACGACTATGTACGTCCAAGCTGACGCTCTCTAGTAAAAAATAGTATCGTTTAAGATAAATGACAAGAGTAGAATATAACATTATGTTGAAACTATTAGTCTGATATTTGAATCGTATTTTCAGATTGCTATGTACTATCGTGGAAACTTTAGATGTGGAGGCGCCAATATTGGCCGAAG